AACATCGACCAGACTACACAGCGCAACAACCCAGAAGACAGAAATCTTCATACTCTGATGACGGAGGCAGTATGACCTCTGAAACGTTGGTTAACATCGACCAGACTACACAGCGCAAGAACCCAGAAGACGGAAATCTTCATAAACAAACTGCATTTTCTGGCATTTTTCACAATCTTGAGTGAGCTAAAAACACTTTATGGGCCCATCCATGTCTGTCGTTTGTCCTAGAAACTCGATAACCCCACTGTTCCAACAATGCAAACTGAGATCACTGTTGGAAAATTCTGCATCAAAGTTAACTGGAACCACTGTCGGCTCACACTGCTGGAACAATAACTTTGAACATCGTCATTCATTTTGCTACCCTGCTGACGTCAACGCTCGTGAGGTGGTGTACGAAGCGCCCTTTAAAATGTCAGTGTACTCCAAAGAGTACACATTTTTGCAATCTACGTTTCTGACAAGACATTTAGATTTGATGCTGACAACCGCATGCGACTGTATCCCTCGTCGCCCTGAGATTATTACAAACTCTCGGCATCAAGAAAAATCCTTCAAATTCTCTTCCGCACTACAATTGCACTAATTGGCCAAGAGGCCGGGGGCATCTTGAGGTGCCGTCTAGTGTACAAAACCTACGGGTCACTGCTCTATGGTTCTTAAGGCTACAGGCTGACGACAGAATTCAGAGGCCCACTCAAGGAGGCCGACAGACTCCCTGTCGCTCATTAATGGCTATTTTGGCCACCCCTAACCCCAAGAAACCATGGTACTCGCATACGATACATTACCCACTTCAATTAGAAGCAACCACACAAGACCAGAAATGAGGCAGACACAACACTCCGAAACAACCTATACCGTTAAAATTTAAGATCATAGATAAATGAATTTAGCAGTTTTTGTGTTCGAAATAATATTTGCATGAGCCAAACTGCTGCCTCTTACGGAACCCGATAGTTCGCACCCGTGATAAATCCATTACACAACCAAACACATTATATATTTGAGATCCATTTTTAATATTATCCTCCAACACAAAATACAAATTCCAAATTCCCTTCTCTGGTTTATCAACAAAAAATCTTGCATGTATTTCTCATCTCCCAAGACGTACTTCATGACCATCCCCATCTCATTCTTTTTGATTTGATTGCCCAAAATTATTTTCCAAAGGAAATTAATTATGAAACTCCTCAGCTTATCAGTTTCCCGGCTCTACAGTCACTTCCTTCCTTCCTTCCTTCTTCTCCCCCGTATCCTGTTCCCGAACAATTTAAATGAAGTGGCATTCACCGAATATAACCTGCTGTTCAAAATTTAATTTATTACAGTCGTCCAATATTTTTATTTAAAAGGAAGTCGTGGCTCATTGGTATTGGTGTCTGCGGTCCTGATGTGTGCACGTAACCCCAGCGTTCAAGGTTGTAGATGTAACAAATAAATATCACTCGTAGAATTTTATCAATAATGAGCGTGTCAGAGTTCAGCGACATTTTCCACTTCACCATGCCTGCGACTACTACGTTCGCCGAACTTCATCAACTCTGCATTGCCCCGGGGTTATGTTTTGATCGAGGGTCCTTTAAATTTGCCCTCTCCTTCCAGCACAGTCCTGTGACATGTCAAACTTCTTCAATTATAGTCCTGGGGATATTTTTTGACCACTGATCAGTGAAGTTTGATATCAAAATTTAACGTAGTCCTTGCCAGAGCCAGTAAACCCTGCTTATTGCCACACAAGCAACCATGGAAGTCAAAGAACTTTAAGATATCTAGAATATTTCTTACCTGGAGCAAAGTTTTGACGTCAATGAACTTTACCATCGTCCTTCTCCAACCCAGGGGAGAGGATGTGATGGGTGATTAACAAGACGCATTTATTTAAAGTTCAATTTAATTTACTTTGCCAAACTGCATTTTCTGGCATTTTTCACAATCTTGAGTGAGCTAAAAACACTTTATGGGCCCATCCATGTCTGTCGTTTGTCCTAGAAACTCGATAACCCCACTGTTCCAACAATGCAAACTGAGATCACTGTTGGAAAATTCTGCATCAAAGTTAACTGGAACCACTGTCGGCTCACACTGCTGGAACAATAACTTTGAACATCGTCATTCATTTTGCTACCCTGCTGACGTCAACGCTCGTGAGGTGGTGTACGAAGCGCCCTTTAAAATGTCAGTGTACTCCAAAGAGTACACATTTTTGCAATCTACGTTTCTGACAAGACATTTAGATTTGATGCTGACAACCGCATGCGACTGTATCCCTCGTCGCCCTGAGATTATTACAAACTCTCGGCATCAAGAAAAATCCTTCAAATTCTCTTCCGCACTACAATTGCACTAATTGGCCAAGAGGCCGGGGGCATCTTGAGGTGCCGTCTAGTGTACAAAACCTACGGGTCACTGCTCTATGGTTCTTAAGGCTACAGGCTGACGACAGAATTCAGAGGCCCACTCAAGGAGGCCGACAGACTCCCTGTCGCTCATTAATGGCTATTTTGGCCACCCCTAACCCCAAGAAACCATGGTACTCGCATACGATACATTACCCACTTCAATTAGAAGCAACCACACAAGACCAGAAATGAGGCAGACACAACACTCCGAAACAACCTATACCGTTAAAATTTAAGATCATAGATAAATGAATTTAGCAGTTTTTGTGTTCGAAA